AGGCTGTCTCTTCTGTAGTTGGCGGTTAGAGGAAAATATGTTTTCTGGCTTGCTTCGGCTTTGTTTTTCTACGTTATAACCCAGAAAAGATTGCAGTAAGCATTGTCAAGCGCCCAAGACTGATTCTTGTCATTTGCGTTTTCAAGCGTGGGATCACATTCTTGCGAACGAGTTAGACAGACACTGCTGTGGGGATGGTCCAGATACGTTGAGTTTTGTCAGCGAGGGTGTTCAGGAAAACTCTACTCGAGGTCTTCGAGAGTATGTCAGAGACGACGTTTATTTGGAAGTACGAAGAAGAAGGTTCAAAATTGGCAGCTCACCTAAAAAATGTATACCTCAGTCCGTGGGTTCCTCAGAACGCTCTGCTAGGTGAGTTTTATTTTCAAGTGACCAAAGCAGAACTAATGCATGCAGGGAGGTGAACACCAGCTGATCCTCGTCTCACTGTTTTCGTCACTCACGGAGGACTAGGCAGCACGATGGAGCTTGCGTATATGGGAAAACCAGCGCTGTTGGTAGGTTCTCGTTCTCATAATTATCATTTTACGCGACCCTTCCTACAAACAACTCCATGGCTTCATACAATTCCCTGTTTTTTCTTCTGCAGATTCCTCTCTTTTCTGATCAAATGCGGAATGCATATATGATGGGCGAGGCATGGAGGATGTATTGTTTTGAAGAGGAATGATCTGGGGAGTTCACAAAAGATAACGGATTCCTTGAGGACCCTTATGAGTGATGCCAGGTATATGGCTTCATTAGGGGCGTGAACATAAGCAAGAAGTTCAATTCTAAAAACTTCCAGTTATTCAAAGAATGCTGAGCGACTCGCTGCAATGCTCGTCGACCAACCAATCAGCGCAAAGCAGCTTTTCATTCGACACAGCGAATTCGCTGCCAGGTAATAAAAAAAGTAAACGGGTTCGAGTCGCCTTCACGGATGCAGCAACCAATCCTTTCTGCTTTTTTTGAACTCCTTAAACTCCTAAACATGAGAAGGCTACGTTTCGCGGTTACGCTCTACACCTGATCGCGGACCGTGCCTTAAAGGCAGTTGGCACGATAAATCCCCAAGACGACTAGGATCAATACTCCTGGCAGGATAGAATTCCGCGACCCTGGGCAGGCGCTGCATAGCGGTTTCCCCGAGGAAGGTGCCCTTATAAGGGCCCTATCAAGCCACAACTTTACGTCCCAAACGCCCGCCACGCCCGCCCACAAATGGACGACCGTTCCTGAC